GGTCGATGGCCACCTTCGAGGCGACCGTCATCGGCTTGGTTCCGGGGAGCTTGGAGTCAAGCATCCCGTAGAAGTAGTGCCCCGTCGGCCCGTGCACCAGCGCACCGAAAGTGCCTGCGGGACAAGAAAATAATCAGCCACCGACGCCGCAGCGGTCCGCCCCACGCCCCACACGCACACCCCAGCCGTCGTGTGTACCGCCGTTGCCGACACAGCGAGTCAACCACAGAGGAGCAGCAGAAGGGGACGGAGAAGCAACAGCAGCAGCAGAAGAACGTCAAGACGAGAGAGAGCACCGATCACCACCGGGAAACCAACAAGGTACGGCCATGGTGTGTGGAGCGGCAGAATGCTGCAGGTGTCCCGCACTACCGCGACACTTCACATGCAGCGCACACTTCTGCAAGTGCCCAAGGCTGCGGCGATACGATTGTATTGCAATCGTGTGCAAATTCGTCATGAAGGGGAGGGGTCAACATGTACGCTCGTTCGCTGTTGGCCTATACAAACCGACAGCTGCGATATTAGCAACAGTATGAGCACACGCGCATAGAGCACACCGCACGAGGATACAGTCGAGGTCCCTGTTTAGTGCCGGGGTGTGGGCAAAAAATTCACCGGCACTATACCGGGCACCGGCACTATTCAAAGTACAGGACGACTTGATATTCCAGTGTGTGCGAGCCGAAAACATCGGCACTATACCGGCAACCGGCACTATTCACCGGGTGCCGGTCGCCCCGGTGGTCTAAATAGTGGCATCCTTGTAGTCCGCTAGTCGCAGGGGTCGTGAGTTCGAATCCCCATGGGGTGAAATATTTACGAAATGTGCGGGTGAAAGCGAAATATAGCTGACAAGCTCTCGTGAGTACCAAACTTCGACGTTGGCACCGTTGACGAGGGAAAGGGACGGCTGGACCCTTCTCGCGATAAAAATAAAATTCAGCACGCACCGCAGGAGGAAGGTGGGGCATGAAAAGAAACAAAAATAAGAAAAAAAGCCCTGGTATTTACCCCCTCCTGTGTGACCCTGGATGGTTGTAATTGTACGAAAAAATACCCTGAAAAGTGTAGTACTCTACATACGCTGAAAAGTGTAGTACACGTCTCACCACGAAAATGGGGGGACTGTCACCATAATAAATACGACGAAAACACACACACACCCGCTGCCCCGTTCCAGGGACCTTGATTTTTACCCGCTGGCACTGACGTCTTTTAATTGGTCAGCCGGTTAGCGCGGTCGATGCTAATAATAAAAACACACACACACCCGCTGCCCCGTTCCAGGGACCTTGATTTTTACCCGCTGGCACTGACGTCTTTTAATTGGTCAGCCGGTTAGCGCGGTCGATGCTAATAATAAAAACACACACACACCCGCTGCCCCGTTCCAGGGACCTTGATTTTTACCCGCTGGCACTGACGTCTTTTAATTGGTCAGCCGGTTAGCGCGGTCGATGCTAATAATAAAAACACACACACACCCGCTGCCCCGTTCCAGGGACCTTGATTTTTACCCGCTGGCACTGACGTCTTTTAATTGGTCAGCCGGTTAGCGCGGTCGATGCTAATAATAAAAACACACACACACCCGGCACCAAACAGGGACCTCTACTAGTTGTTCCACAAACTGAGAAGGGGCACAGGAAAAACATGACGCCGGCGTCATGCTTTCATTTGTTGGATACATCCATCCTCGCGGGTTACTCGCATTCCAGCAACAACAGCTACACCATTCCTCATTGTCCTCGCCATGGTTCATGGAATACTACGCAGTGCGAAAAGTAGCTAGCGAAAAGGCTACTGCTGTCTACGACTTGGTCCGCAAGAACTGCGTTTGGTTGTAACCCTAGTTGATTTCCGAACCCAACGAGCGAAGAGCAGAAAGACTCTTCCGTTGACTGCGCCCTCCGGTCTCTGTGAAATAATTAAATAGATGTGTCGGACAGATAACCAACAAGACTCGCATTCACAGGACAACATACCCTGTCGCTACTGCTGCTGCTGCTGCTGCTGATTTACATACTTTGGTTGGTTCTTGCTTGTGAATATAACATGGCTTGGGGCCCCTACAGAAGTACAAGTAGCACAACAGATTATAGGGCGATTTTGTTCTGCCCCAGTTGCGGTGAAAAAACCACACACGCCCCGCGAGGATTTCGCCATCCCACCATCGCCGGTCACTACTGGGGAAGCACCTCTGTGGGATGCCATGTCAGCAACCCTTACACTTAGCTAGGGTGGTGTAGTCATGCAAGGTGTATGAACGCAGGTACCGCCGTGCTAGAGCCAGCCCCGTGTTCTGTGCTTATGACGAGGCATGACGTGGAGCGAAGAGGTGCGACAAAGACTTGAGCAAACTGTACATCCGAAATGTGAAGAGCGCCACGATCAAACGCTTGCCGCACAGAACGCCAGACTAGTGCTACCTCGAGGCCGCTTGGCGTGTGTCGGCGGTGCTAAGCTACAGCAGCCATCCCACCTAGCCGAAGCGTTCGCATGAAGTCGTAGTCGTCTTCCGGGCTGATGAACTTTTGGGCGAGGATGTCACCGACTGTGAACCCGGTGAAGGACGTCATGGCCTTCACCAGCAGAGGCTGCGCTGCCAAAGCCTTGTTATACGCCGCCCATATTCCCGACATGATGTGCTAGGAGAAAGGGGCAGCGGAAGGATCGGAAGATAGAGTATAAAGAGGAAGTGTTGTCCGTTGCCACCATGCATCGCCAGGCAGCAGCGGAGAGGGGGCCGTCAAAATGTACTCCAACCCCCCCCTATCTTTACGAAAATACGCCGCGTGCGGGGCAATTATCACATCAATATCCAAATGTGCCCAATGGATACACGCAGATGCGCACGCAATCCATAACTAAAAGTATTGCTTGTGCGCACCTGCCGCGGAATCACGTGTCACTTGGAGCAGTGCAATACACCGAGCTGTGCACAATCCAGTGCATTTATGCGCAATGAATCCACAAATCAACGGTCGCCGTGCGTGTGCACCTGTTGCGGAGGTAGACCACTCAGCCACCCGGTGAAAGGTTCACCGTTGACCTGGCTGAGACAGGACCTTATAACACACCCGCAGTGAAAGAATGTTCCACGAATGTTTGCTCAAGACTTGTCTGGCATACATGCAATCTACATACATACATCGTTGTGCATGCAGTTTATCTCTCCTCGGCCGTGCTTGAACATGTGGCGGGAGGATGGTGGAGAGATGTTAGGCCCACCGACCAACCCAATAACTTTGAAAATATTACACGCGTGCCTCTTCAGACTTGACGTTAGCACGAAAGTATTCTGACCGGTGTTTGGTGGTGTTGTCTACTTGTACGAAGTACGAAGTATAGTGTAGACCTACACGGTTGCCTAGGATAGTAGCTTACCACCAAAAATTCGTGAGAGCGTCTGCTCTTCATGCGCGCGAGGTAGCAGAATTGCGCTGTTTTCATTCTTAGGAATATGGGTTTTGTCGTCCATCCCTTTTTACAACAACAGATCACCCACTCGCAGTTCCGGCAGTTTGAGGTCGACCGAGGTCTTCCTCGATGGCCGCCGTTGCGGTAATTGGAGAACTATTGTTCCGCGCCAAAACCTCAAGATCATTGGTCCCGGGCCCCATCGTTCCTTCTGCGGCCCCCACGGTCGTAGGAAGGGCTGTTGAATTCAACCTACCACGCGCTGTGGGTGGTTCTAGAGCGGATGTCCGTTGAAGGCTCGACAATGACTCCCTCACCGACGCCGCCGCAACCCGCGGATTGCTACCACAACTGTTCTCTCCGCTGTACCGTTGCAATGGACGTGACGGACGAGGAATACTTTGGTCGTTGTCCGCACCCTTCTCAAACGGCGGGGCAGTATCATGTAAATGGTCGGACGGTTGCGGCTGCGGCTGCGACAACGTTGGTGCTGGGCGATAGCCGAAGCCGCGCAAGCACTCTGATGTCCCGCCACGCATGGTGGCGGCGACCAAAGTCGCTACGCGGGGTCCGAGACGATTGTCAGCCACGACAACCTCTTTAAGAACCCCACAGTTTGATGCGAGGCCAGCAGCAAGGGAAGTACCCCCTTCCGGCCCAAGGCCGTTCGCTCTTGGAAACCAACAAAGATGCGGACGTGGGGTGGAAGGGGGGTCACAAGCAGAGTATGTGTCAAGGTAAGGCTCCACGGACAAGCCACCCGAGGTGATGGTGAAGATCATCATAACACATGAAAGAGGAATGCCCAATCGTGAGGGATGCGCATGTCATACTTCCCAATCTGCCGCTCTCCATCCATCCTTCCGTCGACCAGTAAACTTCCATCACGCACCTAAGACTGAGCCGCGTGAGGGTCTTGTTTCGACGCAGCGCGACGGCGAGCGAATCCCCGCAACCTGCGCCGAGAGAGTTGTTTGCGAGGTCAAGGTCGAGCAGCCGGAACTTGTCGCGGCCAGAACCAATAGCCGCGATCATTGCCTGCCCCCCATCAACACCTAGTTGGCACCCCGCCAGGTTTAGACGTCGAAGATGCGCAGAGGTCTCCAGCGCAGCTATGATGAGCCGCGCTCCGCCTCTGCCGTCGCAAATCGAAGTTGCAGGACGAGATAAGGGAGACGGGGCGAGGCATGGGTATCAGCAAGTACAAATGCAAGGGCTTACCGTTGAATGGAACGTGCAATTCTGCTCGACGACCAGTTCTTTAGCCACACGCATCATTACGCATAGGAGTGCGATGGCGGCGTTGTTTGATCAAGCGTAGGAATCGGTCGGAACTGTACGAGAAATTTCCAGCTGATTATCTATTTCCTAGGAAACTAAGGGCGGAGCTTCGCGAACGCTCCTCACTTACCGACGAATAGGGTTCCAGCTAAGGTCGACTTCTCGCAATGTTTGAGAAGTGGCGATTGCGTCCGCAATCGGGCCGACCGCTTCGCCGATCAACTTGCACGCTATCGTGGCCAACTGCAAGGCGGGCGCCGCGAGCAAGCGGATGGATGCGGGATAGAAGTATGCATAATTCGGTGAACGATACAGCGTTAATTAAGCATGGTCGTGGCTAGGTTGGGCGGGAGGAAAACTGTTTTATTAGAGAAGATTCCCGCCAGCAACTCCCGTGCAGCAATGAGAAGTTCTAGCTACCGTGACCAGGGGTTGCCCGATAAGGTATATGATCGTCACACACCCCAACCCCGCCGGGTATACTCTTCAGGATTTCAGGACCTATGACAAGCTTGAGGCACCCCTACCTTTGCGAGGTTCGGGATTGCTTCGAGGAAAAAGGATAGCTTCGCCGTGTCTGCTGGCAGTAGCGGGGCGTTGCACAGTCGCACCTGTGCTCGGCAGAATCAACAAACATCACGGAAACGAGGAAGAGAGTCGGTGTTGGGCATAAAGGCTCACGGCGGCTAAGCCGTGGACAAGCAGCGCAAGCACTCAGGAACTCGTGCATCAAGCAGGGCGAACCAGTCATCACCGCGTCTGCATGCCCGCCGGTGCTTGTGATGCCCTTGAGAGAAAAAGGTGTTACGGGAACTTCTTCTTTGGGCGAAATACTGTGTCGACTGTTGAGCCAGGTTAAGTGGTGACGGGCTACATCTACCGGCGTCTCTTCACGCCGCCGACACGACGTCCTGTGCTCTTCTCTTTCCCCGCCGTCTTCATCGCCGCTACAACCGTCGTCGCGCCCCGACACCGCCAAGGGCATTCCGATCTACTTCGGTAGGTGCCCGCCTCTTGGGAGGAAGAGGAAGGCTGAGTGTTGTCCCAGCCAAGACCCTCTTTCCGAACCGAAAGGGCCTGCTGCGTACCTACCTCAGATAGAGTGCGCCAAGCGAATGACGGTAGAACCCTTCGGAAACCCGGAGTAAGCGCTCGTGCTGACAAGGCGAAGGCCTCGGCCACCAAAGGGTGCAAGTGCAACGGCATCTGCAAGAAGTAGGACGCGTGCGACGGTGTGGAGGAGGAAACGGGGAAAGGAAGTAAGGAAAAAAGGTACATAGCATCTTCTAGTAGCAAGGTGCGCGTGGTGTGCAGGTAGGTCGATACAGATCACCCCGGTCGTCGATGACTAGCTTTTGCCGTCGGGCATAATCGTGCTGTGCCCATGACACGTGCAACAAAGAAGGTCAACATGTGTGTAACAAACAGGGTCTGGGCTTGTTGAGGGGGCACAATAGTCTACCAGGGGAAAATAGGGAAATGTTTCAATTCAAAGCCAACACAAAAGGCAAAACTGGTCACCGCTGCCCCTGTCGAACACACATCATCGCCGACCGATATACCTTTGCCATCAGGACGGACGCCTTGGTGAGGGCCGGCTGCCTGTCGGTAACCACGGCAAGGTTGGAGATGGCCAGATCCAGGAGAGTTTCTGGGTCATGCTGCCCCGATTCGACCGTGATGTCGGCCTTAGTCTGTACAATATTTTCAGGGCAATCCGTTGGTGGGGCCACAGGAAACGTGTGGTATTTTCACACATCCACATCAAAACACGATGGCTTCCCGCGGAGTCGGTTCCTTGGCATCATGAGAGAACCTCTTCCTATCTACGGGCCGACCTAAACGCACCGGGGCGACAATCCCATCCTCCTCCGCCTTGCCGAAGGCGTTGTCGCGAAAGTTGCCGACCGTCTTCTGGCCGCGGGCGTCGATGAAAACCCCTGGGCCGTCGCGGTTGCCAGCTCGCCACCTCCCACTGTGTTCGGACCCATCGGGAAATCTCTTTGTCCCTTCTCCATGCTGCGTCGAGGGAGGCACGGCAGCTCTCATTCGATGAACACGGTTGCGAAAACAAGCGGTGTTCTGGTGCCAGAGCTTGTGTGGTAGGCGCCCGCCGCCACCCCAACAATTAAGTTAGCTTGCATCGAAACAATAAAAGGCATGGCCGAGTCACACAATCATTCAGCTGGGTTCCTTGTGTTCTTGCTTTGCAGTAATCTGGAAAAGACTGACGTTGTGTTCCTTTTCCCGCGAAAAACTCATGCTATCCTTGAGCCAAATACTCCACCGCCCGTCACAGCAGTCCCTCGCCTGCCTCCCGTACCATGCCGTTCGCCCTCTGCGCTGTTGACCGTACCTCTTTTCCGAAATAAAACTCCCCGACGTACTCAGACTCATCGGGCCAAGTTTTAGTCCCCTTGCCGTTAGGCTTCCCTTGCTTCATCTCCCCGTGATACCTGCACAAAGGGCCATACGACGTGGCAGGCAACATTCACCAAGGAATTCGGGCAGAAACACATGGTCGACCCACAAGGGAGAGGCCTTCGCAACTAGGTATCTACACCTCGCACTTTTGAACAGCGTGCGATGAGCCTTTGTGTGCCGAGAAAATCAAAGTACTACCCGCATGGATGGGACATGGTGCAAGTGCTTCCTCCTCCTCCACTTCTACTGGCGCCTACATAACGGGCCGAACGCGATCACGTTCCCCCGAAACCCGACCCGAGCAGATTGATTCAATCTCACCGAATCCCGTTGCCGTACGCGATGGTTGATAGCTTTCCTCCAGGGGGTGTGTGCTGCTGTCCTTGAGAGAAGGTGCTGGGGTGTCGAGTAGGGGGGGGGGAGGGGGAGACGATATCAAGACACACTTTTCCATAAACGTTGGATCATGAGGTTGGCTATAATATTAACGGATTCGTGGCATGCGCGACCCGACCTGAACCTCCGAAGAAACACTTCTGAGGGATAGGATCGCATTGTTCGTGTCCAGAGCCCAAGGGGAAACGAGGCCAATATCATTTCTTGCGAAACTGTAGAAGCTCGGGCACCACCAACGAACGGACATCCCTCCGCCAAGCCCTTGAAGCCCGAAAGTCATAACATGTGTCCGAGTCAGTACTGAACCCCGGCATTCTCTCTGGGGCGGTTCTATCGTGCACTTTTCTTTCGCGTCTGGTTAACTCTGGTCGGGGCCATTCATTTTTCGGCCTTGAACAGTGCGGAAGGTATACTGTGCGGGGCGTAGAAACGTTGCTTCAATACCAAAGAACAACAAAACTAGCACCAAAAACAACAGACATATATAGACCCCTGTCTTTTGATTGAAACGGAAAAAGGTCGGCCACTCTTCCCGATCGTGCGCACTACCCCCCGCCCCGCCCCCGCGCGCACGCCCTCACTCCTGTCCAGGTTTTGGCGCACCTAAGGCACCAAGACCCGTCCTGGTACTCGGCAAGTCCCCAGCCGTGAGCTCTGCCGCCGCTGGTCTGGCCGAAGTAGTCAACCCTTCCTTCTGGGGAGAACCAGCACAGGTAGTCCCCCGCGCCGTTGGACTTGTGCTGACTGATGCAGCGGAGCTTCATCTGGATCTCCCGGGCCGCGCGACGACGACCCTCGCCCGCGACTACAGCTGCAGCCTTGGAGTCGTATCAGTGATGAACGGCGTGGTTCGTCGGAAGGGTAAGGACGGGTGCGCGGGCGACGCAGGGAGTAAGTAAGAGGGCAACGACAATCGTTTCGGGAACAGATGCGGTGAGGTGTCATGTGTGAGTGTAACTTATTTTTCCACAGGCGTGCGCCGCTGCAGAATCGCTGCACGAGTGGACGTCCCATGCCGTACTGCCAGGCAGGAGAGACTGCACCGGACCAGATGAAAAACAAATGTCCGTCGTCATCAATTGCACTGATTTCCTCTTGCGTGGAATGTTTCTGGGACTTCGTGTTAGTCTCGCCTTGTGAGAATAGTTCAAAGTTCCACCACTGCACCAACTGGTTTCGCCTGAATACCCACCAACGGCTCACCTTAGCTTTCAAGCACTCCGACCGTTGATCGTCGAACCTGCCTGGTCGTAGCGATTGCTCGCTTAGGCAGGAGTACATGCATTTGGCGTAGCTTCGGGCTAGACGTGAGCTTGACAGGAGGTCTCCCACCCCCCTCAGATCAACATCCTTGTACACCTGTCACCAAAAGTTCTCCCAGAAGTAAGTCCCGGCCAAGATACATGGTAGGCGTTGCCGGTTCTAAGCATGAAGTCAGTTGTATCGTGCACCACATGCACCACATGTATAGCATTGGAAATCTGTCAATGCAGCAGACGTTTCCTCAGCGATCGAACTCTGAGCCCAGCTACATGATGGGCCGATCGAATGAATTTTTCTTGAGCTTGTTCACAAACAGAGGTGATGTAGGCGTAGCCCTCGGGAGAGGGTCAAACATCATTCAGTGTCTGAAGATAACCACGGTAAATCCCTGTATCTCTCGCACCTTCATAAGCTGCTTTCTTGTAGGGCGTGGGGGAGGGGTGCTCCCTGCCGCACTCTTCCCTGTCTTCCCAAGACCTCCTCCTTCGCCACCACCGCCGCGCCCGAACACGGGTTTCTGGGCGGGTGGAGGAGGAGGGCAGGGACCCAACGGAGGCAGACCTTCTCGTTCCAACTTGACGCTGGGGATACTCAAGCAGCGGACAAGTGAGGGAAAACGCACGTGGAAGAACTGGCCTAGTTGGTGGGGGAATTAGCACGTGCTCTTAGAACTATTCTTGCCAGTCAGGTATGCCGGTGCGCATCTCAGCAGTTTCTGGGTCGTGTTTCCGGCGTGAAAAAGGAGTGAGATTTATCTACACAAGGACCCGAGGCTTTGGCGCTATGCATGCAATCTTCTGTACGCCTAGGTGGTAGCGCCAGTATGATCACGTTGAGTACGAACCGTAATCGCCGACAGCTTGCTTATCGCAAACACGTCTCTCTTCGCACAGCAGCTTTACAATGGTCAGGCTAGCGTTTTCCCACCTCTCCACCAGCCAGTTGAGACAAGGGCGACACAGAAGGAACGAGAGTGCCACTTGGCCGTGGTCTGCGGCAAGTGCAACCGGCCCCGTCTCGCTCCTTGGTATGAATTCCTTGCATCGACTGCACTTTCCCCGGTACATACACAGTTCCGTCCCTGCCACACCAGTAACACGCACAAATACGTCAAGGATGTGAAAGAACGTACAGGTCGGAATGATGACATTCGATTATCGAACCGGGATCGGCGATATTGGACGGGGGTGCGATATCACCGATACCGAGTGCACCGAGTGTTTCCGGGTCGCACATTGCACCGGTGGCACCTCGCGGTTTCATCGTGAATGGGGTACGTAAGGCGGCACCGCGTACCACATTCTGAAACTTGGCAAATGAAATCAGGAGTCAGACGATACTTTACTGCTGGGTTTATTGATATGGCCGTGTTCCACAAGTCGGTTATATCGCACTCCCCTTCCTTGTGATAAACGTTCAAGGGTCGAATTGATTTAATTCGATTAGACGAGATCGCGCGGGGATCGGTGATGATGTCGCACGTGTCGGTGATATCGCACCCCGCCAGAGAATGTCCGACGTCAGAACAATCACGAAAGTACGCAACATGGACTGATGTCGCATGCAACGAAGGTGCATGAGAAGTGTGAAGACATGTACGTACGTGCAATGCAAGAGCAGGTACATGTTACTGTAGAATTCAGATGATACACAGGTGACGTAATATAACACACCTCTGGATCGATTTTCAAAGTTTAACCTCTTCTCCACACAAGAACGAAATGAAGGACGTTTTGGTTTTCGGGATGGACATACTTTCTACCAGATGGCTTCGGCACTATTTTTCGGTACACCGCCATTCTTTTTGCTGTGTAGCAGTGGGGCTTTCAATATCGGTCCAACGGGTGTGACATCTTTCATGTCACCTAGCAGTGAACGTGCTCCCAGTGCAGCGACAAAAATAACAAAGCGTCTTTAACTTGCTGGAAGGGTTGCCAATATTTAGAGATTGCCATTTGTGAGGACACGGGACCACGGAAACCAGGCTATACCCCTCTTAAGTAGTATATCTTGTACATACGCTATGTATGTTGCGATGTGCTGGAAGGACTGTTGTACCACAGTACAACACAAAATGTACTGCTGCTGCATTCGTGTCAACGTGTGTACGTATGCAAGTGTTAAAACACTCGGGCAAACTACAGTAAATGTGGATGCTTGATCGTGTGTTCGTTGTGTTCGAGTGTGTAGGGTGTGTGCCTGAGACATACATGCTGCACATGCAGCTTTCGCGTACCATCGGCCCAGACAGGATCGTCGTCTCCGAACTCCGCCGGACGTTCCAGAGTGATCTTTCCGCTCTGTATGCTGTGATAAAACACCCTCTCCGTTGAGTCGGACACTCGAACCCAGCCGTTTCGGCTTGCTTTCGAGCCCGAAAGCCAAAGCTCCGGCTGCTCGTCCTCCGCACAGAAAGATCCAGACGGGTGTCGCACTCTGTGCATTTGATTTGACCGTTCTCCAATCTTGGCTGCCCCCGCCGGGATATTGAGCACTGCGCACACCGTCCGGGTGTTGTCTTCTCTGAGGTATGGTAGGGGTGTATCACATGTATGTTCACTCTGTCAGCCCGAACAACGCTGGGCGGAATGCTCCATAGGAATACTCTTATCACAGGTTGTTGTCTGAGAAGAAAAAAGATCTGTTTGTCGTTGTGTGTGTGTGGTGTCTTTTCTATGCATATATATATAGACTATAGCATTGTTGTTTCTGTGTGGCGTTTCACAAAAAAGTTGTGGGTGTTGTCGAATGGTGGAGACGTGGAGTCTCGCCGGTGCTACTGCTATTTCAGGTTGTGGCGTTTCAACGACACCGCGGGTGGGCACAGAACCCCAGCCGCTTCAATTTTGCTGTTACTGGGTGCCGTTCTATCGCTAGGGTGAGCTTTCAAACATGCGTGCTGTGTCTTAAATTTTCAGGAGATCATGCGCGATTCCCGATTCTCCGATTGGATCCCCATTGGATCAAACTGCATCTGCGGTCATGATCGGAGATCACAGCAAGGTTGTTTATTGCTGTGTGTGGAAGATTCCAAAACACAAAACTTTGGAGAATCAGATATTCTGAACTAAGACCTGTACAGAATACGAGTAAACATGTTCGGCGTCACGGTCGACGAGGGAGAGCGACGGCAAGCAAGACTTGGAACGCACAGCAAGTAGGGCACAATAATACAAACAAGCGAGTATAAGAATAGCTCCTGCCTGTGGGACCTCTTGACTGACCCCGCCCATAATTCAGATATCTACGCCGACAGACGGGCTTGTAAGCCGGCGCCAGAATAGACAGGACGCATACATACTACACATACATAATAATCGTAGGCCCTCACCCGATAATAATGACGAGCGTGGGCTGTTCCGGTGCCAGCTTGCTCGTGGCATTAATAAAACTGGCTTCGCTTCCGGCTGAGGAGATGAGCTACAATTCAGCATCATCATGCATAAAATTTGCCCGCCGACGAGACCGCGGCACACCGACGAACAGAACAACTGCATTTTCAGCAACCACGTAAGAACTCCCGTCTCTCCGAATGCATGCTTCTTGGCCACCCCGTCTGCCTCTTCCGGCGTGTGCTGAGCAACGAACAGAACATTTTGATTCGTCCGCAGCCCGCAGCAGCACCCGCCGCCGCCTGCCGCACGCAAACTGTCTGGGCATGTTATGACCGCTCCCATCAACGGCAGCCGAGAATCGCCATCTCCGAACACACATCGTGTCGTATCCTGTCTCATCGGGTCCAAAACTCCGCGTTCGAACCACACGCTGCCGTTTGTCAGCAATTAATCGTGTGTGGTTCACCCATCACGCAGGCGAGATCAACAAATGCCTCTCTACAGCTTTTCACGCCGGGTACATCACGCGCTTCAACGAGCACAAGGAGAACCAAAGTCCAAGACCAGACAGGCGAGGGCGCAGCAGCGGCGCGGAAATCATACTATTGCCAAAGATCCGAGGAGGTGCGATCCCGTTTCCCGGCGTGATTTGGGGCTCCCTGTCTTGTGGGAGAAATGCCATGGTGTCGTGCGTTTTTTTTGTAAGAGACCTCCGGAGATTTCCCGTGTACCATCACAACCTTTGAAGTACGACGTAGAAAGGGCGCTCTTTCTCCTCTCTCTGTCTGTCTGTCTCTCTCTCTCTCGCTCTCTCTCTTTCGTTTGTGGCCCGCGCGTGTGGGAGCGTGTGATTTCACTTCATCATCAGTAGCATGTCGCGTTCGTTCAGTGACGCGCCAGATGCTGCCCGCTTGTTTCTCGCTCTCTCCTCCTGCTGTTCCACTTCGCCGACAGCCCAGACGCATATGCGTATTACCCGACCAAATGCCACCTGGTCCACACTGTTTGTCCTATGTAATGAGCGGAGAACGGTCTTCTTTTTCTGCCTGGCCAGAGAAGTGCCTGCACGTGTGCTGTGCCAGTAGATATTCGAGCTGGTACCACCTATGGCACGTCGTTGTGGTGGTCGGGGTTATTACTACTGATCGATGTACCTTTCGCTTCTCTTGCGAAACTCTTTTGTTGTTTCTCACGTCTCGCACATGCCGCTCGAGCTTCATCTTATTCGCGTACTTACGGCATCCATGTATTTTTTTGGTCGGTCAGAAGCTGTCTGCCGCTTTGTGAGACAAGAGAGACAGGAATTGCTACAAATGTAACACCGACTCCAACAGCATGATGCACATCGAAAATTGCGGACCCAACCGGCGGCCCCTCAATTCTCTTCTTGTGCAATAGCATCCACACCGTAAGCAACGCACTTGTTTTGTCATGGTCGAGGCGTTTCTCCGACACCGAAACAGAGTGTTTCGATCACTGCACCTCTCTCTTCGTCTCCACAAAGCAAACAGCGACAGCAAGAATCTGACAAGTCCGACATGCGACTAAATCCGACCGTACGACAACACCATGTTCCACCCAACGTCGTCGAACAACAGGCAACCAAGCGGAGCACATTACACCCGCCTTTCGACGACCAGCAGCAGATGGTATTGAGTGCGGACGCTGAGAGTGACATGTCCAAGAACGTGTCAGTGGCTACCGGCGGGATCGCGGCAACGGGAGGCGGCGGGGGCGCCCCGGCCGGGCCGAAGGCTGAAGGCGTGGACGCAATCCAGGGAAAGCTCGCCGGAATCCAGATCGACGGCGGAGTCGCCGGACAGCAGCCAAACCCCAACAGCAACAACTATTTCGGTTACGGGCCCAGCGGCGGGTTGGCGCTCGACGTCGATGGCAGCGGCGGCGGCGGCGGCGGCGGGGCTCCCACGCAGGGCGTCGCTGCTCCCTCGAGCACCGCCGGTGGCAGCGGCGGCGTAGCGGCCGGAGGGGGCGGCGGGAGAATGGGAGGAGGCCACGCCCCAGGCGGCACGACGGACGGCAGCGGCGTCAGCAGGAGGTTCGGCGTGCCGATCGCGAGCAGCTCAAGGAATGCCGGGGCCGGAGGTAATAACCGCGGAGGTGGCGGCGGAGGAGGCGTGTCCGGTCTCGCAGGGGCCGGTGTTGCCTTTGGTGACGACCGCAGGAGAGCTGGTGGTGCAGCCGGCGGCGGCGTGGGAGGCCGGCGGGCCGGCGGCGGGGGCGGGAGCGGGAGCGGTATGGGCGGGGTCGCGCGCGGGAGCGGCGGCAGGGCATCGGGCGCACGGGGGGGGTATGAGTCGGCAGCCGCGGCCGCGGCGTCCCCGGTGCGGGGACCTGTGGACCACTCTCAGCTTCAGGTGCCACGTGTGTTGGCTGCTTAAGCATGAAGCCAAGAAAGTTGCTACATATTCTAGGTAGTCACATCGCGTGGAAGGTGGTTCGACGGGTCGGACTGTCCGACTCCCCGAAAAGCACGCAGAGCTTTCGCAAGAAGAGCGAAGGTGTGTGACCGGAGCGGTGGCACGAGCGTCGATGCCGATTCCGCTCGCATGTCTCTCTGTCTCTCTCCCCTGTCACAAAATGCACTTGCATCCAGGGTATGCACATTGTACTACGGGGGACGGGGGGAAAACGCGACGCGCCGATGGAGAAAACGGAAATATTTTTCGCGAATCAGTTAAATGTTCCGAAAGAAAAAGCGCTCGCTGGACGACCGGCGTCTTGTTGCGGCAAAATATGTCGCCGGCCCGTCGTTTGTCTCGAGTTCTCCAGCTGCTAACCAGACATGCCCAACACCCCGCCTGTTCCTAGACTCTTGTATCGGCCGTCGACAGAGACTACTTCGTCGTTTGTTTTAGTCGACGATTATTAATTTATTGCAAGTTGCAGAGGTGTGCTCGTGCGCGCACGGAAGTCTAGGCCCAAAGTACGTCTGCTGCTCTCTGCGACTGCAATTTTTTCTGCCGTGTCTCACTGCTGTTCATGCGGGTACACACGCACGTGTACGTCGAGTATTGCACGACCGTGCCGGTGTTTCTGTTTGGTGCTCGTTCACCTTCGCCGGCAAGTTGAATTTGCCAAGTCTGGGAGTTGGAACCCGGCGACGATGCGTCTTTTTTCACTAGCATATGCATGCATACCTTGTCCAAACCACTCTTGTGGTGGATGTTGCGTGCGAAATGGAATCACACACTTCCTCCACGAAATATTTTCTCAGCGGGGTGAGCCTACTTGTGTTCCTGGCTGCTGTCACTGCTACATGCTGTATGCACCCAAGGTATCCACCATTACCTTCACTTCGCGTGTATACATATATCCGTTGCTTCGCCTGTTGTTTCGTGCCCATGTTTCGACTCTCCTTTACTCAATCAAAACGTTTTCGAAACTCGCCGGCTGCCCGCAGGCACATCATCGTCACCCCACCCCCGCCCGACCGCCCAAGTTAGCTTGATTATCCGCAATCCATTCATTCCCGTTCCTCCCACACTATGCGGCGGGTATTTCTCGCCAGCAGGCGCCATCGCACATGGGCTACGGCGGCGGCGGCGGCGGCAACGACACGATGTCTCCGACCTCCGCCACGGGCGTGGGGGGTCAGGCACCGCAGCAGCAACAGCCGGGGTTGTACAGTACGGGGAGCAACGGCAGCAACCACTCCGGGGGCATGGGGCAACCCGTCGGCTTGAGCATTCAGCACGTGAGGCATCCTCCCATTCGGCTTGGCGCATTGTTCTTCTTTCTCGTGCTTTTGTGTGAATGCATGCAAACAAGCATCGTGGGATCGGCCGCATCTCCATTCTTTCATAGCCCTTCCTCTCTTCCTTTTAGGGGGCCATTGTGATCCCCTGTTGTTGTTGTCTGCCTGACATCACTCAACCGTTAAGTTTCTTCCTAGACCCAACTCTACCAAATCTACTTGAGTTGCGTTTTTTCAGCACCATGGGTGCGGTGTACGGTGTCGCTGCCGACGGCGGTGGATTTAAATGTTCATATTCGCGATAGACTTGAGGTCTAGAGATCAACCTTGGGGCGTTTTTCGAAACCTTGTGAGCCGCTCCGGCTCGCTCGACCGTACGCGAGAATGTGCTTCTCGTGAGCAGCATGTCCTTTGACTGCGAGGGTTGGGGAAGCATGGGGCACTTGCCTTGTGGTGGAAGGGTGGAATGGTAATGGTTCCATACGGCATGATGTCCTGGCGACCTGGCAACTTGTTCGGTGTCCTAGCGGATGAATACCCTCAGGCACACACTATCAGTCAGAAGAAGTACTGGGCAGATGTAAAGACAACAACAACAACATTCGCAGTTTCGCAGTCTTGCTTGAGGTCGCTCGGTGCTGGTTGGTATGCAAACGCGCGCGGTAAACTGCTTGCCAAGAGGGAAGTTGTGTAAGAGTGCCCCGCAACACCGTTGAGCATATCCCTGCAGAAAGGTACCAGTTTTTCGGAGGACTTGATCAGTCTTTGTGCGTTGGCCACATGTCGTCGAGAGAGGCGGTCGCCCGGCAACTTTGAACTGTGCGTGGGTGTTTATGCATGCATAGACTATGCACACTCCGAGTTGTATGAAGAAAGCCACGTGTGAATTCGAAGCTCGAAACTTCGCTACAGCTCGAACAATAGGAACGGTTATCCCACAGCTTGCCACGGCGGGCAGATTACGTCCATCCTCGATGCGAAACAGAGGGAGAGAGGGTACCAAGTCTTGCGACTTTTGAGAGGGCGGTGGGGCTACTGCTGTAGCCTTGCGATGAAACCAGAGGGCGTGTCCTATTTTAGTCCGAAGCAAGGCACGTAGTGAGTTGGCCGGAGAGGTGGGACGTGGTGGTCTAACCATTGGTTTATTTTCTCATTCGGTATGATGTTTTGCTCCACCTTACCTTGGAGAAGACACACGTATATATGCGTATGCATACTTCTGGTTTTGGATGTATCACCGTAAAAACCCTTCGAGTTCACCCCCCTTCCCCGCGGGTGCGCGCCCTCCACGACCGAAATAAATCGTTTCTTTCACACAATACTAGTATCATTTCTAGGCCATGCATGTACATCACACCCATATCGTACTTCCTTTCGCAAAGTTGTCCTGGGACTGCTCGTGTTGAACTTGTGTTTGCGATGTGGAGCCCATCTGGCTGAACCCAATCGAATCAATCCTTTGCCGGCGTGTGCACACGTGGACGTTTTTTGTTTCCTGTCGACTTTCTTTCTTCTCTCTGGGTACGTCCCGGGGCATGCCTTCGTTCTTTGTCGGGCTGTGATTGGGCTGTAGTACCTTCGGCACCCGGACCCCGGGGGTGCCCGTGTCCATCTCCGTCATTTGTCCTGGCCCATTCACCCTGTGCAGGATATAGGTACCACTGCTTTCGTTTCTCTCTACCTTCGTTTCTTCTTCCCGGAGGGGGTGTCCTGGCCCTACACGGCAGTCCTGGCCGCTCGTCTTCCTCCCTGCTGCTGCTTCCTGAAAGCATCTGCGTAGCAACCGCCGCCTAGGCCCACCGCCGTGCACAACGCCCACTCCTGTGAATGAAGGAGGCTACGCCCCCCTCCCCCCGGGACTTCTCGCGCCGGCGGCTTCTTTTTGTTCCTCTCGAAAAATATGACCCCTCTGTTTATTACGTATGGCTTTCTTCGCGCGCCGTAGACTGTTTCCGCACGGCGGGGAAACGGGTGTACGGTAGTTTTTGTTGGCGCCTGTCCAAGCCATTTTTCGGATGTGGATCAGGGAGTCGGTGTCTTTCCATGAGGCTCTTTGCTTGATCCGTGCCGTGAACAACTATCGAAGAGGGTATGCTTGCCTCGCGCGACTTCTTCCGTTTCGTATCGTTTTTCCGCCGTCCCACAATGAGTGTTGCCGACTATCCGCACGTCGTGTTGATTTGCGGTTCAGTCTTGTCCCAATGTCGACATGCGCCACCTCCCTGCCCCCCGGTCAGACTGCAAACGCTGAACGCCTGGGCTTTGGTGGAGCCAATAAGTCGGTCCATGGCGAAAAGGGGGTGTGGGGGTCGCGTTTACCTCGGTACTCTCGAAACGCGGCACGTGTTCGGACTTGAATTTCGGGGCGTCGCCAACTGCTTGATGGATACGCCGTGCATATATTTATTAGGAAATTTTAAACAGAACAACAAGGGCTACCTGCATATTTTCACGGTGATCGAGTTTTTTTGGTGGATGGTGATCCCCACAAGCTGATGACGCCCCTTGAGGTCGTCCTGAGCAGCCCTGGCCTTACGTTCGCCCGCCCACCCTCCTCGCCTGATCTCTATAATTTTGTGTGTTCGCGCGCGAGCGCGCGCATGCTCGCCCGGCGGGGACATGGGAACTGGACGAGAAGAGCCAAAGTTTCATATTGATAGGGAAGATGTGTGTGATGACAGCAGCAGCAAGAATGCGAAGGGTCCTCGTACGGACAGCAATCAACGACGCTGCCTGCCAGCCAACATGTGTGGGATGAGCATGCGTGGCATGAGGGAGCGACAGCAGCAGCAAGAACGCAATCGTCTGTGCTGCGTGCACATTCAGCAAGCCAAACGATTAGTGAAAAAAATGCGAATAATTCAGTGTATCCCATTGATGCCCCCCACCCGGCCTTTTTGTCCCTCCTCCCCCGCAGGACCCCTCCCAGCAGACGGCCATGATGGGCCAGATTCAGACCGGCATGTACTACGGGGCCGCCGCCGGTTTCGGGGCGCAGGCGCCGGGGACGCCGGTGCTCGCCCACATGAACCACCCGCAGAATGTGGCGGCGGCCGGCGGCGGCTACCCCAGCTCCCCAGGGCACTCGGCCAGCTACGGCATGCAACCGACCCAGCAGGTGTGCGCGCGAGAAAGCAGCGTTGGGTGTTGTATCCCTGGCTTGGAGGTATTTGTGAGCAATATTGTTTGCCCCCCCCCCCCCCCCCCCCCCCCCCCCCCCCCCCCC